CTTTGCATTAAGATAAAGCGAGTACACGTGACTGAAGTCGGGAGAACTACTTCGTGGTCTTACAATCTTCAGAAGCGTTATCGGCATTATCAGCTGACTACGCTCATAATTCTTTCTTGCAAATGCAATTTTTTGCTAGTTTTTATCCCATAGCAGACGTACAAAAAATGTTTGATGCGAATGAGTCAATAGGACTAGAAGAAAAACTAGGTCAATTGCTCTGAAACCAATTAAACCTTTGTAATCAATCTCAGCACCGAAGATGAAATGTACGATAACAACTGCCTTATAGCGATGACTGACTCTGTAAAAAAACAGTTTTTGTTGAGAGATATCCTGCTGTCAACGATAAGCTGCTCCAATGGCAATGCAGGCTCGGCGATAGCGGCGGCACGCTCGTAGTGGTTCATCTCAGAGCAGGGCTGACGTGGCTTGGAACACCACCAGGCTGAGGAATGTCGATGCGTAGTGTTTGTAGTTTTGGTATGACATATTTACCTGACAATCCTGCTTTTTGTCGTCTTCCTGAATTGTTACTTTCGCCGTTTTGCACGACCTGCCCCTTTCTCTGACCCTAGTAACTTACTCCATCTCATCAAGTCTCATAATATCAATTTTAGCCTTGGGTTAGCGACCATGAACATCTTCCGACTATCAGCAGACTTGGCTCATCTAGTCGCTATCATAATCTTGCTTCACAAAATATGGAGGTCAAGGAGTTGCGAAGGTAAATCTTTTTGTATTTTCCGCTACATAGTTTACTAGTTTATATGCATTAGGTCTGTCTGGTCGATCTCAAGTTCTTTTTGCTATCGTTTTCATATCTCGATATCTGGATTTGTTCACAAACTTCATCTCCGTGTACAATTCTGTTATGAAGGTAATTTGGCTCTCTTATGTTTGTTTTGAATATTTTTGCATTAGCAGTGCATGTGCTGAGCCTCGTTTAAATATGACTTCTTTTATGTGTTCTTCCTTGCTTCATCAATCGGAACCGTCTACCTGATGTGGGTCAAATTCAAAGCTACTTATGACCGGTAAGTCGTTTTATATTGTTGTTTTCATGCATATATTGAAAAATTGTAGTCCATAAGAGGCTCTACATACCCTTTGATTCAATGGAATAAGCCCCTGGAAGGGCGACTGCTCGCATCCGCGCTGCATCTG